GTGTGTGTGTGTGTGTGTGTGTGTGTGTGTGTGTGTGTGTGTGTGTGTGTTTCATAGTCATAAAAGAGTTCTTCATATCTTTTCATTTCTCAAATGAAGGGCATAGGGCAAACACTTGGAGTTGTCAGTACTCTGCAGACAGAGGTCGATTCCTTAAGTGTGACAGAGCATAATCGGACTGTAGGGGAAATGCTGCAGATGAGAATCTGAATGCTAAATCACCTCAGACATTAATAAAAGCAAGGAACATGTGTAGAGGCAGGCAACATTTTTAAAAGTATTAACAGCATGCACGTTATTTTAAAGAATGGAGACACTTTCAAATAAATATCAAAGTTTGCTTATTTGATCATGGAAAATTAGGTGTACTGCTGCTGGCTAGATGGCTTATTAGGTAAAGTTGCTTGACAATAAACGTGATGTCCCCTCTCTCTGGAGCCTCAGCGGTGAAAGGAGAAACCACTCTAGCAAGTTATTCTTTATGCACTCTGCTCACCCCACACACACCCATGCATACACACAGTCATTCACACAGACCCACACACATACACACACACCGAATACAAAATAAATGAAAGAAAAATTAAGTGAATCAAAGTAGAATGTTAATACCTACTGGCATTCTTAAACTTTGTACTATAATAATGTGACCATTTACATTATTTGAATAAAATATATATTACCAATATATTACCTTTCCTAGCACACACATACAAAACAATGAAAATAAACAAGAGAAATACAAACATGTATAATATAAATTAATTGTCATTATCTGTTGTCTTCAAGGTATATGGAATTTAAATGCAGAAAAGGGAAAAAATATTCAACTTCATTTTCAAGAATTTGATTTAGAAAGCATTAATGATGTGGTTGAAGTGAGAGATGGGGGCGAAGCTGACTCCTTGTTATTAGGTAAGACGGAAATTTGAACCTCTGAAAGTCAGCTAGCTCAAGATTTTGACTTACCGGGAGAGCACACTGAAGCAGATACAAGCACTTTACAGTTGGCAAGATGAAAATATAACAGCAGGGTATCTTATTAAAAATATTCAGTTAATTGAAAATAATCCTTTCAAACAATATATTCTGAATAAGATTCCCCTTTGGCTAAGTCTTCCCAGAACATGCTGAGTTTTATTATGGAAACATGTTTGCCATGGGGAAAAGATTGTGTACTTCTACAATATTCTTTGTGAATCAGGAATGATATGTGTATGTCACAGTTATTTATTGGTAATAATTAACTGTAAACACACCATGTGTAAACTATTATGTAATTTCTATGATATATGTGTATATTAGGTTTTCAGTGATAATTATTAAATAATGTTTTCTTTGGTCATAACATACAAATTCTGTTTCCTATAAATATTTTAAGTTATTTTTTTATGTTTTATCATTATTTTGCTTATTATTGTCTCTGCATCATCTACTTCTCAACAGCTGAGAATGATGAAAAAGTTAACGAATGCTTACTTTTCTATATAGCTATTGGTTACTGTTATTTAATAATGCTTGCAAAATAATTGTGCCTGGAAAATAAAATATATATTAGTACATTTAAGTGTTTTTAAAGAAACATAAGATCATATCATTTACCCATTCATTTTTAAGAAAGAAATATTTTTTATTTAGGAAATTCAGATATTAAATTACAAAGATGCTTAAATGATCACTGGGAAGCATGAACTAGAATGACTCACCACAGAAAGGGTTATATGTACTGTTCTAGTGACTCATACTCATATCTTATCATAAAATCTGACTTAAAGTTCTTTAAATCAGGATATTGTTATATAAAAAATTGTGACAAGTAAATTATGACTCACCATGAGTCCCAAGCCTGTGAGAGACCAGAATAAGAGTGAGAATTCCCCAGACATATCTAAAATCCTACAAATCTCTAGATCACAGCTTTCTGAAATGGATTGTCAGTGCCACACAGAATAAATCAGAAATGAAATTCTACAGGGACAGCAAGAACTGGAAAACATTTCATCTAGACCTTTATATACATTTGTAAATATAGTCTGTGGTTTTTTTTTTTTTTTTCATTTGCAGGTTAAATTGTGTTTCTAAAAGGTCACTGCTTATATAATCAAGGAAAATAACAATTTATTATTTTACTTCTTATTAGCCACACAAACACAAAGAAAAAAATTCAGAAGCATATCTAAATTATACTGTAATATGTAGACAGAAATTGTTTTGTTCTGGAATTGTTTTTCTTATTTTAATAGATAAGACAGTTAAGAGTAAGCATCATAAATAAGAATGTTTACATACATGGTACATGTAGTTCTACCTCTAGAAGAAGAAGGTAAAATCACTTATCTCCAGTATTCAAACAGCTTATGGCCTCTTTTCCTTTGGGGACAGCTGTGTACACAGGACCTGGCCCTGTGAAGGACGTGTTTTCTTCCACCAATAGGATGACTGTGCTTTTCATCACAAACCTGAAGAAGGCAAACAGAGGCTTCAAAGCAAATTTCACTACTGGCTATTACTTGGGGATTCCAGGTAAGAAATATTCATCAGAGCTATGGGAACAAACCAAGGAAATAAAGCCCATTTCAAAACTAAATCACAATGTATATATTTGCATTCTGAGATATGATTTTGTCTTATTCAGCATAATGAAGATTTTTTCTCCCTGTTCTTTATCTATGTAATAGTTACCTGAGGTTTTTCACAATATTGTTTTTGTATATGAATTACCACTTCTCTGGTAAGCTTATTTACTTCTCCTCCCCAAAGTTAAAATTTAGCATAAAGTTCAAAGTAAAGAAAGCAATTGGCTCTGGGTGAAGGACGATTCCTTTTGCCAAGATCTTGTTGAGACAGGAGGATGGGGAAGGACCACTAAACTGCTGGGAGGCAAATGACGCCCAATTAAAATATTAAACATCATTAACTTATTAAAGACAGCCAGAATAAAACAGCTGCAATGGAGGAGTTTAATAATGAATGCTGCTGGCATTACAAGTTTCTTCTTGTGTTCTTTATCCTGTCCCAAACTTAAGCATCAGGGAAAAAAAACAAAACAAAAAGGCATTTTAACACACACATATGGAGGAGTGGGAGTAAGAGTGAGACAAAGACAGATTAAAAGACAGAAACAGAGACAACAGAGACAGAGGCAGACAGAGGTCTAGATAGAAATACACAAAGCATGTATTTATTCTCATATACATTATGTTTTAATATCTTGGAATACTTTGTTACTTGCTCGTCTATGCAGGCTCTGCCCTTTCTTGTGCTGACCCACAACTTTGTGTACCTTTCCTGATTCAAAAATTTCACACACATATATATAAATTCCTAGAGAGGAGGAATTTTGCACAGTTGCTTTCTTTTGGATTGTTAACGAAGGCTAAATCCTGCTGTGTGGTAAAATTATGTGCACGTCTGTTTCTCTACTGCTCAGCTAGCCCAAAACTCTGACCCTGCCTCAGGAAAGTAGCCTGCTTTTAGCTTTATGACCATTTTTAGCCCTGATAATAAGCCACAATATTGATGAAAGCTACTTAGAAAGAGTTGGCTGCTAACCCCATCAGTTAATCTCCAGTTCTGGTTTAGAAGCAGCTACTTTTAACTAACAAAGAGTGATAGGAATGAAACAAAATAAGGCACTAGTAAGATAAATGATAGGCACACATTTTTGTGTGTGTTAATTTATATTTATCATATATTTTATTTATGTATATATTTTGTAAATTATATATATGCATATAATTTATAAGTGTAATATATATATATGCTATATAATTAAACGTAATGCTCTCATGGTAAGGTACATGACTGTAATTCCAAGTTGAAATAGGAGGATCAGAATTTCTTTTGTCTTCTTTCATAATTTTTTTTGTTGTTTTAGAGTACTATGGTTTATTTCAGCTTAGAGTTTATAGTTCATCACACAGGGGAAAATAGGGAAAGAAGCTGGAGGCAGGATCTGATGCCGAGGTATGGAGAAGGGCTGTTGACTGGCTTGCCTAGGCATTATTCACAGACGTTTATTCTCAAATGAATATACACATATTTTTAAAGAAAAGCTTTAAAATATCTAGATTAAATAAACCCAAGGAATGACTTTTCCACTGCAGAGTAAAGCTATTTGTCAACATGAATCAGCTATTCATCACTGTGATCAGATAACTGAGAAAGTCAATTTAAAAGAGGAAGGATTTGTTTCATTTCCAGGTTTCAGAGATTTCACACCATCAGACCACAGTCCTTGGCCCTTTCATTATAGGGTCATCAGCAAGCAGAACATGATATCAGGACAAACCTGTGGTAGATACTGCCGAATTTGTGGTGGAGAGACGAGAAACTGGGTGGGGTGGGAGCACTGTCTTAATACTTCTAAAACAAGATACGCCAGTTCACTACTTCCTTCAACAGAGCGCCATCCTCTAAAATTTTCAGAACCTTCGAAAGAATTACTAGCTAGCAATCACACTTTTCAACATCTGCGACTGAAGGGTAAAGAGAAAAAGGACGCTCCATGTCAGTGCTCACTCTCATCATCATGTGAGGCAAATGAAACTGTTTCTTTAGAGGAATGAAAATGTTTCCATTCCCCCATATCTTCACTTCTGGGCTTTCAAGGGATAATAATAAAATAAACTATAATAAGATAAAACAAAAAGTTACACATTTGAATAGGACAAAATAAACAAACAGAAGAAAAAAAAAAACGGAAGAGATGACACAAGGACCAGACTCGGTCTCCACGTGGGCTCCCTAGTAAAGGGAGCATGGACTATCTCTGACATGAACTCAGTGACTGGCTCTCTGATCACTGCCCCCTGGGAGGTGCAGCCTTGCCAAGCCACAGAAGACAATGCAACCAGCCCTGATGATACCTAATAGGCTAGGGTCAAACAGAAAGGCAGGATGACCTCCTGTATCAGTTGACTAGGGGAGGGAAATAGGAGGAGCAGGGTGGGATTGGGAGGAGGCAAGGGAGGGGGGCACAGTTGGGATACAAAGTGAATAAATTGTTATAAGTGATAATAATAAAAAATTTAAAAGAAAAGAAAAAAGAAAGAAATTCATCTATAATTTATGCAGCAGGCTGAGTTCCAAACCAGCCTGGACCGCATGAGATGTTTTTTCTGACAGAGGGAGAGGGAGTGGAGATGTGGGGTTGAGGAAAATACTAAGTTTTCTAAGAAATCAGAATTGAACGTAAAATATAACTAATGCTGAAAATGAGACTAGAGTTCATGTAAAAGAAGAAAATAAATTTGTTGAATAGCAAATAATGAAATGTATAAAATACCTTAATAAAAATAAGTGTGCATTGGTGTCAATGCAATATGTACATATGTGTGTGTGTGTGTGTGTGTGTGTGTGTGTGTGTGTAATCAAAATTTTACTCGAGAAAATAGAGTCATTGCTTTGGAAATATTAATCAAGATAATTTAGGAAATGACATTTTAAATTTAATCAGTAGCCCTGCTCCTTGCTAATTTTGTTATTACTGATTAAAATATGATAACAGTGTGTATCTGCCAATAGTTTGTCTGCTCCTTCGGCTTTTTTTTTCCACTTCGGAAAAATCTATTATTTCTCTTTATAATTTAATTCACCTTTGATTTGGTTTATGTTATTTTTTTAATGAAATGTTTTGTGTGTCCATGTGATGAATGCAGGTAAGAATATGTTATTTGCTAGTGTTTATGTTATTAAGGTAACATATACTTAGGATATGTATTGCTAGGTTAAAAACTAAATATGTACTTACTGTTTTGAAGAAATTTATTTATGTCCTATAGAACACTGAGTAGCAGAAAGATAAAAATGTTTTCATTATTACTTTTTACCTAGAATTAAGATTCTGATTTTAATTATGACAAAATTTTTTGTTTCTAGTAGATTAGTGCTTGCATGTCACCTGCTTTATAAATGACATCATAACTCACTCTCTCCTCAAGACTGTTGCACAACATGTATTCATCTTTCTCGGAACAGTTTTCAGTGAAATTCTCCCAAACTCAGATTTTTCTTTCCAATGTGACTGGTGCCTTCGCCGGTGGCTTAAAATGTGTCTTGGGAGTTCTTTTCGTTCATAAAGTGCTAGTTTTACAATCATGAAGACCTGAGTTGAATCCCAGGTGCCAATGTGAAAAACTGGGTGGTGAAGCACACTTCTAACTCTAGGGCTAAGGAGCAGAAACACATAGATGCCTGGGGCTCCCCGTGCAGCCAGGCTAACCTGTTCAGCTGAGCTGTGGGCCAATAAGAGGACTTGTTGCACACGCACGCACACACACACACACACACACACACACACACACACTCATATTATTGATATTAGCATTAAAGTTTTAGCAGGAAAGTGTATTGGGAATAAAAACTAACAAACACATGGTAAAGAATGAGAGTCACTGAATGGCATGCAAGACAAGACATAAAATAAAATCTCTAAACAGAATGAACTACATCAAAATCAAGAAAGAAAATCATATGAGAAAAAAATAATATATTTTCTAGGACTGATAAAATGAAAATCCTGACATCTACAGTGTTTTGTGGATTAAAAATTAATTATCGAGTATTGGCAGTGATAAATTAATGGTATCATGATAAATATGTATATGATTAGCCCTATAATGATTATGCAGCATTTTATAGCCTGCTCTCACCATCAGTAAGGCGCAGACCCTGCTGGATTTTACAATGGCCCTATTTACCTTAGTCTGGGCTGACACTCCACCTATGCTCTCTCATATCTTCCAGTCCATGCCTTCCGTCCCAACTATTCCTGATTGGGCTACCTCCCACCCATAATCCCTAATACTTGCTGATGTTCTTCATCTGGGTTGCTTCCTCCATCCACACCAGGAGTAATTTTTCCTGACCCATGTGGTTCTCTTTTATCCTAATCCATGGAGGTTTCCTCCTTCCTCCTTTCTCCCTTCTGTCTCCTTCCAGTGATTCTCCTCTCCCAAAGCCCATGAACTTTGGCCACACCTACCCCATTTTGCCCTGCCCAGGTTTAGACCTTTTAATCAGCCAGTCAGGAATCATTTCTTAGGCAAGGTTAAACAGCAATACTTGGGGTACATGACAGTTTGCTCATAAACAGTACGAATACCAGGGGGACAGCAATTAACAAATACAAAGCACCAGACCATACTCCAACAGAGTATCAATATTACAGACTTTTCTACTTAACATTTTGAGTCTCAAGATTCATATTTACAAACAAAATATGTACCTTCAGTGACATTGAGTATTAAATCAGTTTTAATGATGAAAACTTAAAAATCATGGTATTTTATGTTTAAAATACCATACACAATACTACTGCACAATGAAAAAAAGCACAGCTGATAATATTGAGTATTTCTTGATTCTTGAGTAATTGTCTCCATGCTCAGGTGGACAATGTACCATGTGTGCTTCATGCAGGACAGTTACATGTTCACATGTGAGGAGTGTCATACAATGGCACAAAACAATAGCTAACACACAAAGGTACTTGTCCTCCCAGGCATACAGACATCTCAACA